CCATTGCAAGATAAACAATAACTAATCCTCAAATAAAGACTTGACAGTGCCCTCCCAAATTCACATGGTAACTTGGTGACCTTCTGTGTTAGATAACCCAGGGGAAAATAATTTTCAAACCTTCTTGAATGCAGAGATTTGTGCAAGTATAGCTAAGAGCCCACTGGTATTAAGCTCCTGCCCTTCCACAGGACCTGAAGAATAGAGGGCTACCTCGCTTGACGCTGGCATTTCAAAAAGATGGCTCCAAGGCCCTTGAGGAAACAGCACTAAGTTGTGATAGTGACAGAAAGAGTGTTTTGCTATTATGAAGATCTACATTCATTTGAAAAGGACAGAGGAAAAAATTCTAAAAAAAAAAAAAAGGGGAAAGTGATGAGAAGTCTTTATCTACCTTTCTCTTCATCTGGGAGATTTAAACCTCTTATTTTAAATTTGTATTTGCTTCTATAATATGAATTAAATAAAATGATTGTTTCTTGAGAGTAGTGGTCAATGCATGTTTTTGTTTCTCTGAATATGTTGTTAGTACATTATTCTCAAAGATAAATCAGGCTTTGAAATAAAAATATTTAAATCATCACTTTTCCTTCTTTGTAGCCATAGAACCTGATTGTTGAGTAAATTATTGGGGCTAGTATTCTCCGATTGGCCTTTGAAGGGAAGGCAGATCCCCTTATGGAAAACAAGATGGATAACATAAAAAGAACTTAAATTACTACTTGAAATGTGTTTAAGACCAGGCATTTGTAGCCTTCTGGTACATTTAACCCAAACTGCTCCAATACAAGATCTCCAGTGTTCATTCAAATGTTAATGATTGGCCATCTGCCCTTTTAATTTTTTTTTTTTTCAAGCAGGAACAAGCTGAAGGTCATGTGACCCTAATTACAGCAATTATGAGCTTTCTGGGAGTGATCACTCAGGTTGCACCAGAGAGGGCATCTGGCTGATGATCAATAGATCAGAAGATTAGTGAAGACAATCTTCCCTATAAGACAGCCAATGTTTCGTTTCTTAACATATGCACCATATACACAGATAAACCCTTATGTTCTAATATGAGCATTCTTTTTCCCATACTTATCCTTTTAAACTCTTTAAAATTCAGTAGGAACACTTTAACACGCACGTTAGTGTGTGTGCAAATATAGTTCAAATTCTAAAGAAGTACATGGAGAAAACATTCTAATAATGAGTAATAACGAAGCAGCAGCCTTCACCTACACAGATTTTAGTTCTCTGTCAAGGACAAAAGAAAGTCACAGGGCTGAATCTTTCCAGCACAAGTATTGTATTAGATTATTTTGTTTTATTAATACAGAGCTAAAGACCTAATTTCTGATGATAAGATTGTTTAAGGGAAAATTCTTCAGGTTGCTTATGGCCTTTTGATGATCATTCTTTAGTAAGGTAAATTACTTTCTCTTTTATAAGACCATATGCTAATTAAAAGATTATTGGTTTTTTTTTCCTTTTACATGTTTATTGTCTTGGAAATATTTGTTATCATGGATTAGCTTAGTTACAAAGAGATGTTCCTTCTAGTGTATGGTAGATAGCATTTGAATAGCAAAACGTGGGTGGGCCTGTAATGCAGCACCTAGATGTTCACATCCCATATACTGAGAGCAGGCTCGGCTTCTGATTCCAGCTGCCTGTACATGTGCATCTGAGGGGCAGCAGGTGCCCCATTGTAAGAACATCTGTAATGAACCTATTCACGCTTCACTCCGACCCTCTCGTTCTTAGAAGGGAAAACCTGAGGCATTCATTTATTCATTCCCTGCCTGCTGTAGTGTCAGAAACCCCAAAAGCAGCATTTGTTATCTGAGGCCTAGCCACATAAGCACATGCTCAATGCTCATGGTGGCTGTTTTAAACTAAATCCAGGGGCCGGCACTGTGGCATAGCGGGTAAAGCTGCTGCCTCCAGGGCTTGCATCCCATATGGGCACTGGTTATTGTTTTCTAGGATATTTTTTTAGCAGTGTTGTTTACTTTGCTCCCTATTGATTAGATTTCTGATACTGTGGAGGACTTACAGCTTTAAATTTCACTGTGTGTTATTGGATTCACTCTCTAGTTTTCCCCATCTCACTCATGCCTCTGGGATACGTGACGTCTTTTCATTATCATTGGTCTACACTGTTGATTAGTGAGACTGAAGGCAATGCACTGAATCTTTCTTTTTTCGTGTTTTGTGTATTATGCTGAATTGCCTCCAAGGTTGAATTTAGAGTTTCTTATGATTTCCTGTTTTAATATTGAGGCAAGCTAAGCTTTCAGTCTGAGTTAAATGACGCCAAATGAATTATTTAATCATAAAATCAATGCTTTCTTGAGCAGCACATTCTGCCAAGGAGTGTGCTATGAGAGTAAGAAAGGCACAGACTCACTCATGGTAACAACCTTCCAAATTCACACATGGACTTTACAACACATGTATATGATACACTGAAATATAATGTATTGTTTGCTAAATGTTTCATCCTCATTTTAAAACAATTTTAAAATGCATCAATTGATACAGTTTTTTTGTTTTCATTTTTGGTTTTTGTTTTGTTTTGTTTTTGTTTTTTTTTTTTTTTTTTTTGGTGGCAGTACCTGTCAGCTTCTCTCCAGTCCCCTACTGTTTGTACAGGTATTATTAGGAAATAACAGAAATAATGGTGTTTGGATCATAGCATTTTCCTCCCTCTTTCATCTGTATGTCTTCATGATTCTTGCAAACTCCTTGATCTTCTTGCAAAAAAGAATAAAAGCTTCTTTAGCTGTAAGATTATCTCTCGCTTTTAAATTCCCAGAGAAATAATAGGGATGAGAGTGCAGTGTTAGAACTCTGTCCACAGGGACTTGATGCCTTTCAAAGACAACATTAGAAGCACAGGAAATTGGGATTTTTTAAGATCAATATTCAATGCAGTCTTGTATGTAGCATGTTTCAAAGGAAAAACTTTACGTGATAAATTCTATAATTATTGTTTTCCTAAGTACCAGAACTTCTTCTTTTTTTTTTTTTTTTGACAGGCAGAGTGGACAGTGAGAGAGAGAGACAGAGAGAAAGGTCTTCCTTTGCCGTTGGTTCATCCCCCAGTGGCTGCTCTGGCCGGCAGGCTGTGGCCAGCAAACCGCGCTGATCCGAAGCCAGAAGCCAGGTGCTTACCTGGTCTCCCATGCGGGTGCAGGGCCCAAGCACTTGGGCCATCCTCCACTGCCTTCCCGGGCCACAGCAGAGAGCTGGCCTGGAAGAGGGGCAACCAGGACAGAATCCGGTGCCCCGGCCGGGACTAGAACCCAGGGTGCCAGCACCACAGGCGGAGGATTAGCCTATTGAGCCATGGCGCCGGCCCAGAACTTCTAAGATACTGTTTTTCCAATGAAATAATAGAATAAAAATATGACAGTGTACTTTAGTTCAAATTTATAAGACTTCCTAACAGTTAAATCATAAATCACACAAAAAAAGTCTTTTGACAGGCCATTTGGGTTTAGAGTTTTGGTTCAAAAATTCTTGTCTTAAGAAATAAAATTCAAACAAGGAGAGTTTATTCATTTACTTTTGAAAAAAAAAAAAAAAACAGTAAATCCTTTGGTAAGCTACTTCACAGCCTGGATATAAAGCCATAGTTTATTTTAGCATAATTTCTACCAGTGTCCCAGTATAAATGACGGAAGTCCATTGATTTCACCAACTGAATTTCAACTGTGACATGTGACGAACTTTCAAGAAAAAAGAACAGCATGTATACCAAAGGGCAAATCACATCGGAAAGGCCATGCAGTTTTTGGATCAAAGCAGAAGTCAAGGGTATTGTAAACACAGCCAAAGCATAAACCATTCCAGTTCCCACAAAACAGCATTTTGAGCTTGGAAATTAAAGTAGCAAAGGAGCAGGGAAGAAAGTTATCAGGAAGAGGTATTTCTGATTGACGTAAAGGATGCCAAAATGATGTTGAAGTGGGCTGATAACTCATAAATCTCAGGTTGAGGGATGTATTGCCTCTCCTTATTTTGTTCCAAGAAGTGTTTGTGATAAGCTTTTAAAATAACTTGTGATAATGCTGTGATTATTCTCACATCTATATGACTTGGGGTCACTGATTGAGAGTTCCTATCAATGTGTAAAGCAGGCTTCAAAGTGATTAATACATGTAAGAGGCTCGCGGGTGTTGTGGCCTAAGACCTCAAACCAAGACATTGTTTTTAGCAGAGTCATTAATTAGACTCTTTTTAAAAGCTCTGCTGGGAAGGCAGGTTTTGTTTATTCACCTTTCTTAAAATCTTAAATCTTCCTCCTCCAGAAAGCATCAGTTGATAAAAGTGGAGCATTCAAACACAGAACTTGTGGACAGGAACTCAGACTAATAAATCAGAGAGGCATTAGCTCATGGCGTACTTAAAAGTCTGGTAAGGTACAAATTAAATTCTGACATTTGTAGTTAACTTAGTTAGTACCGGTAAATAGTTATTCAGTTTCATCTCTTACCACCTTTTGTCCTTTTAGTCTCCATGGTTTTTGTTTTCTCAGGGGAGTGTTTTCTTCATGGGTCCCATGTCTTCTCTTTGCGCTCCCATCACACCTTGAGTCTAACTTGTCATTAACATTTGCACTTATCCTCATTGCCTAATCAGCTGTCATCTTACTGTTGTTGTTGTCGTGTGTTATATTATTATTAGTTAGGTTGTAAGTTCCTTGAAGGCAGAGGCCATATATGTGCTGTCACTCTGACTGTCTCTGGAATCCAGCATGCTGCCTGATACAGCTTCAGTACTCGATGACACTCTAGGTTGTCACTAGGTTGTTATTATTTCAGTGCCTTCTGTGTCCCACTCTTTTGCTATGCTGGGCATGAGCTCCTTCTGCCCAGGCCTTCTGCCTGCCTGAGGCTGGACCTAGCACCATGCCCCGCCTTGTCCTCCAGGTCTTACAGTAGCCACTTCTTCCTTTACCTTGGAGGGTCCTGCCAGTCAGCGGTCAATCACACCACAGTACTTACCCTTCAGGAGCTTGGTAAGTAAGGAAGTACCCCTCCAACCTGCATGAGAGGGATCAACAGATCAATTCAGTTCTATTTAGCTTTTGAGTTATTTATTTTTTTTCTCTTATTGGTTGGTCTGATCAAGGCTTGAAGTACCCTAGATATCCAGATTTGTCTTCTATGGATTCAGTGTTCAGGGTTTAGTGTGGTTTATATCTTGAGCATAACTTTTATAAAAAATCTATTTTGAAAACCTGTGACTAACTATGATATACATAAAAAGATGTTAACGGAAATGAGAAATCTCCTTCAAGTCTATTTTTTTCAGACTTCACTCTTTTAAAGAGACAAAAGTTATGTTGCTTGCCTTACTGATGACTGATAATAGTTTTATTTTCTCTCATTTGTTAAATATTCAAAACTCATTTGGGCTTATTAAAAGAAATACAGGGAAACAGTTTAATGTGTCGAAGGATACATATTGTGGCGTGCATAAATGTTGTCTCACATCTTATTTTAGAATTCTAGAGAGGTTGGCATAGAAACCTTGAGAAGGCACTTTAGATGCTCAATAATATGTAAAGGCTTTCATTTTGAAGGCCCTGGTTATCTTACTGATCCTTATTTAGAATCAGTTTTAATGTTTATTTCTACAAAATTTCAGGAATATAAAATTTTTCACAGGCAGGAGGAAATAGGTTCTTTAGTATATTTTGTAAAGGAGATATATAATATTACTAGATAATTGTGAGGATATAGGCAGGATCAGATAATTTTTAAGAATTAAGCCATGTATTGCCTTGTATACAGATACAGGTTGTGGAGTTATGTAGACCTGGGTTCAAAATGTTGATGCTTAGTGATGTGAATAGTCTTCAAAAACTGAGAATAAAAATTAAGGTAATAGTAATCAAAGAAAATGACTGAGATAAAAATAATATTCTAGATAAAGTATTATCAGGTTATATATATGATAGACTTGCATAAAGTACACATTAATCAACTTCCATTATTATAATTGTGAGATAGGATAGTGGGTAAAAGAGAAATTCAATAAGCTACTTTGATACAGAAAGCTTTTCTGTTATCTTCTTTTATTCCTTATGTGTTTTTCCTAAACATTGTAAAATGATTATACAGTGTCTCAGGACCTTCGGTAATTTATGTGAATTAGCTTCTGTGGGTCAAAACATGAGTGTGAAAAGAGTTCTACATCCAATTTTTGGTATTTTACAAATGGACATCTCTTATCCCATGATAATTAGTGACTATCAAAGTCCTATTGAATCCTGAAACCAAAGTTAAATTTTTGCATCTTCTGCTGTTTGTGTGACCTTGAATAATGAATTTCAAATCTCAAGAAATTACTTTTCTTGTTTATAAATTAAGTAGAGATGAGTCATACTGTTTCTAATGTATATTTCAGCTTTTTTCCATATATTACCTATTTTTCAAATAACATCTTAGAAATTAAATCAATTATTTTCCTTCATTTACCCTGAATCTACTATCTCTGCAGATGTATCCAGAAGCTGTCAAACTTTTTATCAATTACTTTGGTTACATGATTTAGCCAGTTTTTTTTAAATTTCAGAATCCCTGAAAATTTGGCAAATTGGTTGACATTGGTTTTCTAAAAACTTCCAGGAAATAAATTGTGGTTATTTTTAAATCTCTTTTAGAAAACACAAAAATCAATTTTCTATGTTCATATTTAGAAATGATACTCTTCAATTTTTACCCAGGCATCAAATTTTAAATTGGCATATTTTATACTAAAATAGCCAAATAATATGTCATAAATCATGATAAATGAATGACAATAATAACTTTAATGTTATAAACTTTTCCAGCATACAGAGGACTGTTAACTCATGGAATCTAATCTATAGCTAACGGCTATTGCTGAGGGTTCTGACATAACAAGTCTGCTCCTACATGGACAGACCCTTAGAGTGGTCACGTGTTGGGAATGAAGATGATTGTGCTTCCGGAAAAGGGTATCGTGCATAATTACAGACTTGACTTCTCAAAGGCCCAACTCTTCTAACTAAAATTTCACTGGTATACTAGAAGAATTCCAAGATTAACTTGGGAAGTTCCACTAAATAGAAACTCTGTTGTATTTTCTACAGTGTATATCCACATGGAATTCTGTATGCTTCAAAACAACATGAATAAATTTATCTAAACTGCTGTTTCTACATTTCTTTAAAATTTTCTTTTTTTCTCCTAAGAAAGTCTGGGGTTGGGGGGAGGAGAAAAATCCTCACTAGTATCTGATTAGTTCCATTTCCTGTAATATTTTTTCTTGTGGTTGCTGGTCTCCAGCCAATTCTATTTTTGCATTTATTTTTCCCATTACATTCTGGTTATTTTTTTTTAGTAGAAGAATTTTTGTGTTTTTCAGTTTGTCAAAATGGAATTCTTCTCATATCATGATTTTATAATTTTCAAAGCTTAAAAAGCAAAACCAAGGAGATTTCTCAACATAGTTCTACATTTTGCGGGCTTTTAAAAAGAAATCATGATTGAGAAAGTATTTTCAACTAGCAGTAGACTGGGAAAGCCCAATAACTTTATTTCATATCTCATGCTTTGGAGTACAACATTCAGTGTGGTGCAGCTGTGGTTTAAAAGAGGAAACTAGGTCTAGGAAGTGACCTCATGAAATGCAGAGAGCCAACAGATGAAATAGTAATGATATACAAAAAAACACTGCACATTTCACTAAGTGTCTTGGGGTATGATATTCTGAAAATGGTGGGAAATCCATCTCAAAGAATACAAAATTATATACAGCAGGGTATAAGAGAGGCTGAGATCTTTCTCAGGCTTTAGTCTTTTTCCTCCTTTTTTTTAAGTATCTGTTTGGAGCATTATAGCTTTATATGGCTGAGATACATGAGCATTTGCTGCTCAGGATGTAAGCATTTATATATTTAAAAGAGCAAGGATTCTCCCCAGGAGCAAATCCCTCCATCCTTCTATCTCTGTACTGTATGTTGAAAAATAATCATGAAATACTTAAGAATTCATATGATTTGCCTTCTAACTAGAAGATTCTTGATTCTTATGGAAGTATGAGCTGACCTAGGTTTTGACTATTTTCTGTCATCCTGAAAGTGAAAACAAGGAAGTGTCACTACAATACCCACCGTAAAGAAATCAAACAGCAGCATCTCTCTCTCTCTCTTTTTTTTTTTTTTTTTTTTTAATGAGGGCCAGTGTGTGTTAGAAAAGTTTCATTTCAGATCTGAGATATAAGATGTGGATATTTCTTTCCCAAGACTGGTCCTCCACAGCTCATCTTTGGATGGGATATAGTGTAAAATCTTCAAAACTAACTGATCATAAAACCAACAAATATTTTCTCTTCTCTCCAGGATTGACTTATACTAGGAGGTCTGTGAATGCATGAGTGTGGTAGTTATCTAAACAGAGACCTTCCATGAGTTCCTGATTCTCATTTTCTGGAGTTGTTTACACTAATTTTAGTGGCTAAGGGGTTAGTGCTTGCTAAAGTTACTGGTTGGAATTGTCTCAGTTTCTTGTGACAGCTCTTATGTCTGATATCTGGTAGGCATCCTTCCTACATCCCGTGTGAAAAAAGTACACTATCTCTGACCTCCTTTACTCTTTTTTTCTCAGTTGCTTATACTTTATCGATATATCTGATATGATTTTCATTTTTCTGACATTATTTTGTTTGCTCACATTACATACATACATTATTTTGTATGTTCATGAGAGTAGTGATATTTTCTGTTTTGATCACTGATGAGTCCCTAACCCCTAACCCAATTTTTGGCACATAGTAGGTGCTCAGTAATATTTCAGTAAACCCAGTCACTGTTTTCATAGACTGTCCTTTGCTTTTTCCCCTTCAAATACATGTACTCTGCTGCTTTCTCTCAGACTCCTCACAATTCCAATCCTAGTAATAGGTTTCTTCACCACAATGAGGTTGCATACTTGATTAAGGAACCATCTCGTCCACATCATTCTTAGCTGCTTAGCAGAAAATCATGTTTGTCTGTGGCTTCCTAGAGTTGAAAACTGAGTACCCTCTTTGTCTTCCTGTGATCTTCCTTGATGCAGGACACTGGTTCTCAGTGAATGGTTCCTAGACAGCAACGTCAGCATCAACTACCCTCTATCCATTATCCCAATCATGGCAAATACAGAAATTCAAGCCCAGAACCTATTATATGATGAGCTATAGTTTTCAGGACAAAATGTTTTTGTAATTTACATTATATATTTAGCTTTTTTGTTATTTTATTTGAAAGGCAGAGAGACAAAGATGCTCTAAATGAGTATACTCTCAGGCTGAGTTAGGGTGAAGCTAGGAGCCCGGAGCATCACGTAGGGACACAATGTTAGGGACACAAGTATTTGAGCCTTCACCTGCTAGCTCTCAATATGTGCATTAGCAGGAACCTGAATCCTAAGAAGAGATAGAATTGAAACCAGATATTCTGCTTTGGGATGCCAGCATCCAAAGTGGCAACTTAAACTCTGTACCAGATCCTTGACTCTGGGGCAGATATTCAAAATTAATAACTGGGTATCAAGCTAAAGTACAAAATAGAATAGCAAATATTGCACAGATAGTATAAATAGTATTGTTTCTATTGCTTCTGAGCCTTTTGGCATATCAAGTATACAGTTTTATTTCTACTTTAGTACCACTATGTGCCTACATTTGTATGTCTGAAATACACAAAATTTGTTTATCTTAAATAAAACTTTAAAAAAAAAAAGAAAGCCATCACCTGTCTCTCCCCCTCTTCATGGAGGAACGACACAGGACCCTGCGCTGTTCTTTTGTCTGCTCGGCCCTTCCCGGGTTTGCTGTTGGCTCTTCCCGGGTTGGCTACCGACCCTTCCACCTCCGTGGAAGGGCAGTTCCCCCTAGCCACTTTCCCCACTTCCACGGGGGAGCGGCACACCGCCGGCCGGCTCTCTCGGGGGCTGCACAGGTGTTCCTTCAGATAGATGTTCCTGGTGCATGTTGTCTCTCTCCTCCTTTATAGTCCTCTTCCACCAATCCC